AAATTGGCAGAGTACCCTGTATATCACACAATTTAGCACAGCTGTCTCCCATATGTACTATTTACATACTGGATTCACTAGCCTGTCAGAAGTTGCTTTAAACAAATCAACTAATAATTGGAAATTGTAAATGCACTGACTTGGAATAAGGCTTTACTACATCTTGTCTTGCTCAGTTAAAAGTATCACGCAATATAACTGAATAATGCAGTTGAACTATAGAATTTGAATTCACATTTAGATTTGAACTCCAAATTTCCTCATGATTTGGTGAACCATGTGTTTTTAGTTTACTTCATCCATTATTAGCCTGCATTGTTTCAACGAACTCTCAGATGAAATGTGATTGCTTGTGTCTCCTCGGTGAAGTAACAATATTACACTGAGTCTCAGGGTGTTCATCTGCAAAATGTGTATAATAATACCAAAAAGGTATTAGCTGGTAAATGGATTCATTAATGGCAGTAAAGCCCCTGTAAAAGTGGAAAAAAAAAAATTGTTTCAAATTTGAAATACATTCTAAGAAGCTTTATAGCACCTTGCTGCAGAGAGAGGCTGAAAATTGATATAATGAATAAAATGAAGCTAGAAGCCTTCAATTAGGTTAAAAGTAGTCCTGTGCATGTAAAGAGTGCTGTCAGAGCTTCAAGATCAGCATAAATTCAGGGTAAAATATTTGAAGTAAGCCAGATGTACTTCACTGCTTGAAATGCCCCTGTGCTCCAGAGCAGTAAGGTGAGTAAGAGAAAAGTTCAGCAAATAGTCACTGTTCAAGGGTCCAGACACAGGGGTTAAGAAAGCCAAAGCCTACCTGGAGATGCGTCTGGTGAGGGATGTGAAAGGCAACAAGAAACATTTCTGCAAGCGTAGCAACAACAGAAGAAAGTCTAGGGAAAATATGGTCCCACTGCTGAATGGGGGCAGGGGACCTGGTGACAAATGACATAGAAAAGGCCGAGGTACTCAATGCCTTCATTGCCTCAGTCTTTACTGATAAGGCTGGCTTTCAGGAAACCCAGGCCCTTGAGACCAGAGGGGAAGTCTGGAGCAAGGAGACTTACCCTCAGTGGAGAAGAAGGTTAGGGAACAGACTGGGCAGACACAAGTCCATGGGCTTTGACAGGGTGCACCTACAAGTGCTGAAGGAGCTGGCTGATGCCATTCTGAGGCCACTCTTGATTATCTTTGAAAGGTTGTGGTGACTGGGGGAGGTTCCTGAGGATTGGAAGAAAGCAGATGCCACTCCTATCTTCAAGAAGGAAGATCCAGGGAACTACAAGCTAGCCAGCCTCACGTCAGTCCCTGTGTACATGATGGAGTAAATCCTGGAAACAGTTTCCTTGACCAGCTGCCTTTGATGAGATGACTAGCTTGGTGGATGAGGGGAGAGCCATGAATGTGATTCATCTTGACTTTAGCAAGACTTTCAGCACTGTCTCCCCTAACATTCTCAAATACAAACTGCTTAAGACTGGCCTGGCCAAGTGGATAGCCAGGTGGACTGAAGACTGTTTGAACTGCTGGGCTTAAAGGGCTGTGATCAGAACTGCTGGGCTCTAAAGTGTTGTGATCAGTGGCACAAAGTCCATCTGGAGGACGATCTAGCCTGGCTGTCCCACCTTGTCACCTGTAAGATGCATGGATGTAGGGTATCAGTGCTGTTCTGTGACAGCTTGAACTCGGCTGCTCACAGATCTCCAGTGCTCTTGTGGCATGTGACACCAGTGCCTATCTCTGATGCTGCAGTCCTATGACATTGCTCCAAAAGTAGGTAGGTTGGAAGAAGGTAGGCAAGGCAGATTCTGCAAGTCCAGGTCCTACATATGGCAGACAGGTTTGTGTGGAGTCTGTAATAAGACAACACAGTTTTCTTTCCGTGTGCTGTTGGTGAGTAATGACCTTGAGTGTAGGCTAGCAATAAAGTGTACGGAGTGAAAGGCTTTCAGTCTGTATCCCTCTTCTGGGGCGGTGTAGAGGGAGAAAGCGTGAAAAGATACAATACGGGCTAAATTTATGGTGAAATGTTAGCTTAAAGTACCTTCCCAGTGCCTGTATCCATTTCTTAAGATGTGAAATTCTCTGAAGTCTGGCTGACTTACTCCTCCAGATCAGTACTTTCCTTGCTTGAACTCCAGTGGCATGTAAATAATCTCATTAGTATTTATTGCTTCTACAGCCTACTATGAGCTCTCTGAGTTTTGTCATTAATTCTTTTAGGTACAGTATGCCAAGCAAGAAACAGACTTCACTAGGGAATTGCCTAAATTGAGGGATTCAAAACAGCACGAAGTAAGAAACTGTTGGGTGATCTATCTCCTGTTATAATTTCAAGGAGATTCTAGGTCTAGGATGTTGTTATCCTTGTTCCCTCCAAGGGTAATCTGGTTGATTATCCTCTGCCTGAGAGAGACATTTCATACAGAGGCATGCCCTGTGTTGCCAACTCCTTATCTGTTCCTTGTAGTGTTGCAATAGTGGACAAGCACCCTCCCTCATTTAGTGCTACTAATCTCTGGAGAGCAAGGCACCTTTGCTTTACCAGCTGCCCAAGAATCACTGTCAAAACTAGTGTTTGTTGTTTTTTTTTTTTAAAAGAAAAAAAAATCCTATTGTGGGTAATACATTCCAGTTCCCTGAGTTTTTCTTAAATGTGTATTACATTCTAGTGGCTTCTGACTCTGCTTTGGCCTGAAAATACTTCCTAGGCTTCCTTTAGTGCAATCAAACTACAAAGGTGTTTCACACAGCTGCCCAGAAGCGGAAACCGCTCCTTCAACATGCTCTATGCTCAGGCACGTCTTACCTAAAATGGATCCTGACTTTGAGTAAAATAATTATCAACCTGTTGTATGGATTCGGGATTGGAGCTTCTTCCCATTCATTCACATGACTTGTTCAGTGAAAACTTTATCTCGTGGCTTAACTCATATCTGATGGTGTTTCAGCAATGTCCTATGAAGACACCTTTAGGTTATACTTCTCAGATGGATGAGCCTGAGTGAAGGTTTGCACCTAGTTTACTGTAAATAATGTATATTACCTCTACGTGGCACACAGACAAGTGCAAATTCACTACAGAAGTCTATACCTGGATGAAATAATTGCAGCTCCTTACAGGATCTTGATAGCGTCTTCATGTGGTGACAGGCACACAGGATCGTGTGATCCCTAAACATGAACTGTGGGGTGACTGTGCTGCCTTGGTTCATACCATCTTCAGTATGGGCTCATTTGTTCATTTTGGCCACAGTTCCTCTCATCTGGTGTTGAGGGGAGAGGATCATTCAGGGTTAGCGAACCTTAATGATTCCTTCATTAAATGGACTCTTTGGCACGTCCAAAAACCTTTCCTGATGTTCAGTATTTGGAAGGAACCAGGCAATGTAGTTCAGTCTAGATTTCCAGCTCTTAACACCAGCTCTTAACTTAGTGTACTAACAAGCAATTTTCATCAGGTTGCATGAGTGTACCGTTGCTGTGAGATGTTTAAAAGCATACATAGTAAATGCCCTTCTGTGTGTGCTGGGTGGCAAAGAGAGTTAGATCAGGAAAACTTTGTCCTTGACATTGGTACAATTGTGTTTTTTAGCACTGGAAAAGCAAATGATAACATGCTTGAAACAACAAAACAGCATCTGGAGAAGCAAGAGAAAAAAAACACTCAGAAAATAAGTTTGAAAAACACACTTTTTGTAAGCTAATTGCAAATAGGTAATCCAGGCAGCCAGGGAGGAGCAGCAGAAAAAAGCAGATGGGCAGGCCAGGAGGACGTGCCACTTGCCACATCATTTGACATGAATTACACTCAGCATATTATCTTTAAAGACTTTGTAAGGAAAGAACAAAAATCTTGCCTTACAATTTATCTCAGATACAAAGAAACCCATGTCCTATTTATCAACAAAAACCCGAATAGGGTCAGAATCAAGTGAATGTGGTTTTTGTTTTGATCTGAGTGACCAGATCTTTCTTGAAGAGAGACCCATAAACTGAAGCAGAGGTTCCTAGGAAAGCAAGCAAATCACCTGAGGAAACTGGTTCCTCATTCACGAAGTGATGTCCGTGTGAGGCAACCTTCAAAGTAGGTGTATGCCCATGCTTTATAGATGGGAATTCCTGCCATGAGACATTAAATTCCACATTTGGGCCTGGAAGGACTGCACTTTTCACCAGCATTTGAAAAATTCGACCATAGGTGTCTGTTTTATTTAGCAGTTCTTTGGGCTGTTAAATTGTTACCATGTTCAGCTCCACTGTCTTCAGAATCGTGTCACTGAAATGTCATCCAGGAGTTGGAAATAGACCTGTGACTTTGAATTTGAGGAACAATTTTGGTTCCTATGTGCAACATCAGTAGATCATCACTCACTAGAGTGTCTCCAGTGACAGGTTTTTGGCGACTAGTTAGTTTACCAGAAGCAGCCAGGTAATTCCCATAGCTAGACTGACTCTACAGCCTTAATAGTCTACAGCTTTCCTTTACTGAAGTGCCTAAGTGTGTTCATTTACCTTTGATTTTCACAGACTATATAGAATTAGGCTTACATTTTATCACTTCCATATGTCTCTTGCTGCACTGAAGCCTCACTAAGCTAACAGTTTCACAGTTCTTGCATTTTTCCTATATATTCTCTGTTGATCTGTCAACATCTGAGGGCATTCCGATAGTTTTCTTCTTTTTCACAGGAAACACTAGGTGTTTAATCACAAGAACACATGCACTTACACACACACAGACATGTGTGCAGCCACAGAAGAAGAAAAAGTTCTTGCGGTGCAGCATGTTGTTGCCATTGTGGTCCTGAAGGAGGGAGGATCTCTGCTTCTTCTCAAAGATCCTCTCTACTGCATTCTGAAACTACCACCTGAGGGAAAGGTCCTCTAGCAAAACCTTCTGAAACTAAACAAAAAAAGTCATAAAATCCAAACCCTTGGGCCTTGTGACTGTTATTCAGCTGTATTGAACTAGGGACCTAACAGTTATTTTTTTGCTATTGCAGGATTCCCAGCAGGAGAATTGCAAAAGCCTTTCTTTTGGGGAACAGAGTATCCTAGGTAAGTACTGCACCAGGGCACCTCTTACACCTGAAAATGAGGAATAACAGGGAAAGGTATTGGAAATACATATAGATGGAGAAGAGGGCATGGAGAAGAAGGCTACGCTTCTGAAGACGACCAACAGGTAGTGCACAGGAATACTGCGTTGTCCTTCTGTGGGGAAAGCTTGGCCCTTGGGTTGTGTGTTCTTCCCTGCTGCATCCTGCTTTTACTATTGTAAAACCAGACTTTGAAAACTGCTGCTTTGTGCGGTAACTTTTCTTACCCTTGGGAGATGTATGTGCTGCTGTTGTCTTAAGCTGATGACTGATTTCTCACAGGAATTGCTAATTAAGTGCACCTGAGTGGCAGTGTTTCAATACTATAGCATGCAGATGCAGCAGTGTGCACACGGCAGGTATTAAAAGGAATTGTAAATCAGGTAACTAACACTTCCGGAACAGAAGCGAATACCCCGAGAAGCCATTTATTATCAGTTTATTGTTCACTTTCTGCTAAAATCTAAAATTAACAGTGGGCCTTCGCCTGTGCCTGTTGAGGTGCACGAGAATATCTCCATGTGCATAAGTGATTGCCTGAGCAGGCCCCTGTGTTACTGTAGCTGAGGAAGAGTAATTATAGGTCACATATATTTAATTTTGAAAAATCACTGCTTTTGTGCAGTTCAATAACTTTCTATTTTAGGGCAGGGTAAGACCGTGTAAAGTTTCTGACAGCAGTGTCTGAAAGTTATTTTGCAGTTATATAAAGCCAGTTACTGGTGAAACATATCCTTAATAAATCTTTGTTAAAAAAATTTGAACTTTTAAAACACTTTGGGTTTGCCATCTTCCAATCTGGATGTGACCTTGTAAACAGGAAATTTGGCAATACATGTAAAGAGGCACATTCAATTTAGGAACAAATGAATTTGCATTCAAAGAGAATTCTTATGAGCTAGGTGACTTTCTAAGTGGTAATTGGGGACAGAAGAAAGTCCTTTCTTGTTAAGATGAACTTATTTTCTGCTGTGGTTATTGTAGACCTGTTTCCGGCTTTGCTTTCTGAAGAGATTTCTCTGTACCTTGACCTTCTGCCATAGTGATAAAATTGTGGTTCTTTCAAAGAATTATACTTTGCTCATTTCTCTTCTTTAAAGGTTACCTTAGCTTAAATTGGTTTTGCTTGAGTACGTATCAAAATGAAATTTAGTAAACAAATGTAGCTGGTTTATATCAGACAACAGATTGCTTTTGTCCTTGAAATATTCTGGATCTGTTTTCTGTCCGCTTAAAAGAAACAGTACATTGCACTGGAACAGAAAAATCATCAAAAAGTCATCAGCACTTGCTGGAAAACTGATTTAGCAAATATTTAACATTTAGTGGCGTTTTAGTGTCCAGTTCCAGCATAACCACTATAAAACAGCTGCACCTCTTTGCATAAGGGGAAACTAAGTTATCACTTTACATCTCAGTACGTGAAATAAAATGCCATTCAAATGCCATCATTCATAGTTACGAGTCTTCAGTGCCAGATATATTGAAACAGAGACTTCAAATTACCTGAGTTGGTAGCTTCTTTACAGTCCTCTGAGCCTCCCCAGTCCCAGAAAGTTCCCCTCTAATATGGTACCTGTTGAGCTGCACCTAATCCCCTCCATCTCTGTCCAGCTGTGCCCAAGAAGTGAAGAGCATGAACAGAGCTGGGAGCATTTCTGACAAAAACGTTGTTGAGCTGGACAAAATGCTGAAGGGGGTTCACAGAAGCAAAGGCCAAAATTCACCCCAAACTTCACCCCACCTTTTGGAGCTGGGGAAAACCCTAGGAGTGCCCAGACAGCAGCCTATTCTTTGTCCCTGCCACTCGTGGTGACCGAGAACCTTGAGGAAAAACAAGATGTATTTAGGGCTTATTGGTTCTTCTTGATGTCTTTACATGTTTTGTGCCATTCTTTTTATACTTCTCCAGCTGCAAAAGATCCTGTATAACCACTTTACTTCAGATGTGGAAAACAAGTCTAATATAGTACATTTAGTATGGATAATTATCACTGTGTGCTACACAAGATCACAAATTTGTCACATAAAAGGATGATATTTCCATTGCTGAAATGTATAATTTTAACCAGCATTTTTTAGTGAAGGTTTGCAATAGTATTTGGGGCGGGGAGGGGGGGGGAACCAGTAGGGAAGATTTTATCACATGCAAATTACCTTTCAGGAAAGAAAAAAACAAAGTGAAGAATTATCATGGGAGCAGGGGGAATTAAATCATATAATAGTTTTTGGGCATGACTGAGATGAGCAATTAGTGCGCTATGGATCATTAGGTCCAGTAATAACATGTTACTTCAAAACTCTCTGCCTTTCTCCTATTTCAATACAATGTGTTAGAAATACTATAAGCTACTTTGAAGTGTGGCATCTCAATAACTGAAATAATTAAAATCACAAAGAACGAAAAATGAAAGATGCATTTAGTACATCACTCCCCCCCCCCTCAATATCCACTGCATTTGATATAAAAAAGCTGTGAACCTTTCCCGCTTTCATCCCTATTTCTCCCAGATGCATGTTTATTTGGATATAACAAGGAAAATATAATTAATTGTCAATCAGGAATACAAAATATTTCTGTCTCTTCTGGTTCTCTGGTGCATTAGAGCTGACTGTAGATCATGTCTTATTCCTGTGCAGGTGCAAGGAAATTGTATGACCTCTCTTTTTAAAATGGAAGGGAGATCTGTTTAATGCTTTACAAACTGGCGTCAGTCATTTGCAAGTCTGTCTGTTGCATGTCAGTGAGGAATGATTGGAGCTGGCATTACGGAAGCCCATTTCAGCCTTTCATCTATTCTTTTTTCATGATGCTGCTAAAAGAATAATTTCACCTATAACTTTGTCCTGTTCTCGGTTAGAATATACACAATGCAGGCAGCTGAACGAGACATTTTGGAGCTCATATGATGCTAATAAGAGATTTGGTTAGAAGAGTGAACCATCAGAATGCTTTTAAAAGTTTTATATTAAAGGTTATTTTTAAACAAGTAAGAGTTTAACATTAAGGCTTTCAACAACTTTAAGTCAAAATTGTGCAGGTATGATTTTTAGTCCCATTCCCTACCCCACCACCGGTTTAAATAAATAGTGATCTTCCCTGAGGTAGAAATCTGTTTGATTCTTCTGTCCTTTGATGCTCATGAGTGTAGACACTTTCTGAGGAAACTGCTTTCTTTATGTTACAGGTCATTAAGCTACGGTGCCATAGGAGTAATCGTTGGCCATGAGTTTACTCATGGATTTGATAGCAATGGTGAGTATTTGTCTATATGTTGATAACTTTCTTTTTTAACAGAGTTGACAGATTAGAAAGCTGATTTTTATATGCTTTAGCTTTTTTATTGTTTTGTTATTTAACAATGCTGACTTGCATGAAAAAATTATGAAGTTGTATTTTTTATTTCTTTACATACAATCATCTTGCTTGTCTGAACCAGATTTTGTTTGGTAAGGAATACCACAAGCTTGGCACTTTCTGTCTATTTTGAATGGAAACTAAATCAACAACAGGTTCAGAAAATCCTCGTTGGGGGAAGTAGGAAAGCCAAAGGGATAACTTCTGATTGATAAAAACGACTTCCAAGAAAACTTTTCATTTCAGTTTTGACTTTTTTCAAAAGACAATTACATACAAATATTAAAATACAACACTGGAACAAATGTGGAACAGAAAACATATTGCAAAATATTAAAAAAAAAAATTAAAAAAAAGAGCGAGAAAGAAGAAATGGTCTGAAAATGTCAAACTAACTGTCCTGAAAAACTGGGTGGAGTGGGGCATTACCACCATCTGATTTGGGCTATCTCAGTAAAGTGCTTTTTAAAATTGGGCTCCTGAGAGAGAGAGGGGGAGAGAGAGAGAAACACAAACCTCATACTCCGGGGAGCAATTCTGAGTGCCTGACTGACATCCTGCTCTGACTCACTGTCTAGAGAAACCTCTTTCCATTGAAAATATAGGGAGTTTAAGGAAAAGCAGACTTCTAGCTCACTGCCTAACTAAAGTTAGGTTGCTTATGTTGCGATACTTTGAATACCTTTTAAAAAATAAAAGGAAAACCTTTTACACTGCTCCACAACATTTTGCGTAAGCAAACATTTCTGAATGGAGAAATGTTTCTTCGTAAGCTCCCATCTGCCCCACCACTTCCATATCATACAGGTTATGGTGTAGCAAGTACATCCATGTATTTGAGTGGATAGTTTGATTTGATAAACTTGGCTTCTGGAACCGACCTTCATTTGAGCATAGCATGGTTAAGAGACTCCGCTACAGAGGATATTACAGCACTTGAGTACCGGCTGATTTTTTCCATCTTGCAGTGTGATGTGGAGGGCCTGGACTTAGTTTTCAGTGCTGACCCAATGTTCCTAAAAGTCTGGCAATCGGGTCTTATATAGTCTTTTGTTGCAGAAAGGTAGAGACAAGACATGTTAGGACTTTTTTTGAGAGCAGGTATAGCTGGCCATGTGGATGCAACCTTGCTCTGTGATTTGATTCTTCGTTACGACTGCAGGAAAGAGAGGTAGGGAGCAGCCAGTAAACAGGATACCAAGTACTGAAGATGTTTTCTTTCATCTTTTTATTTCTTTATTTTTTCCCTGTGTGTTGTCTTGTTCAAGATGACAAATTCCCTAGAGATGTATTTATTTCTATATTTGGAAGGTAAGAGCCTGGGCAAGAGATAGTGGTCTGCTTAGGGAAGCAAATCTTAGGTTCTTCTCTGACTGGCTGGAGACATGATAGAGATTAGATACTCTCCTACAGATGAGATGGAGCAGGGACCTGAGACTGAATCTTCCACGAGCCATTGTTGTACCTATCAGCCTGGGGAATGGGGTGTATGTATCCTCCTTGCTTCCTTGAATAGGGCTCAAATGTTCTGGTTTTGCTCCAAGGCAAAAAATGGAAACTTCAGAAGTTTCCATGAAATGGATTTTTTTTTTTTTTCTGGTCAAGCGTATAATTAATTAATAATAAATTAGTTATAATCAGGTTTACAGAATCAAAGACACATGGGCTGAGGATGAAAAATACTCACAATTATACTTACAAGAAAGCTCATATGCCTCTTATATTACGTAATTATAAAATGTACTATAGCACTCATTAGTCATTACTATTTTTTTCTGAAAATGGAAATTATGACAATAAATAAAATGCCAGTTTTTCACCACTGACTTGAGTGGGCTCAAGATTTTGCTCACTGATCTTATCCATTTTGTACACACACTTGCATGAGAACGTTCACCTCTCGTTTCTGTGCAGGTGATAGATTCCAAAACTGGAAAAGTATGGGGTTTTTTCCTACAAAACCATTAATTTTCTTTCTTTCTTTTTTTAGGTCGGAAATATGACAAAAATGGAAATTTAGACCCTTGGTGGACAACTGACTCCGAAGAAAAATTTAAAGAGAAAACAAAATGCATGATTAATCAATACAGCAATTACTACTGGAAGAGAGCTGGCTTACATGTATGTAAAACACCAGTGATTGAAAGCAGCAGTGCCTTAGGAGTTTTGGGGTTTTTTTTAAGTTATCTTTTTATAAATCCCAACATATTGGGATATTAGGCTACCAACTTCATTTCTCACTACAAATCATTTTTTGAAGTGAATAATTGTGCTAAAAATTGTCTGTCAGATTTGATTAGTCCAGTCAAATACTACTACCCACACCCTGCTGACAGGGTTAAACCACTTCTCCTCATCACATCGTATTGGAATCGGAGGAAGAGGATGAAGCCACTCAGCAGGGCCTGTCTAATTACTGTGAACATGTTAAATGCCTTCTGAAGATGAGTTCCATAATAAAACTGAGCAGCCACTCTTCTTAAAAAGAAGAATATAATAGCATGTTTTATAGATTCCTTTAGCAATTCCACCTGTTATTTATTACAGCTATAAAATGGATGCACAAACCCTACTTTATTTCACATTCAACCCTTGCTATTTCTTCCACGTGTGCATGCAGACCCAATTTGTATCTTAAATGAAGGGAGTATGATAGCAGTAGCTCATAGAAAAGGACTGATAAAGAAAATGCAAGGGAATGGTTTCTGTTTCACTGTCTGTCAGAGTTATGGGCTTTCCTGAAAATGTGTACATTATGTAAGTGTCCGAAATGAAGGATAAATAGGAAAAATCCCAGACCTTCCGAAATCAATAGCTAAAATTCCAGTAATGTTGGCTGGGTTATGATTTTAATCTTAATTTTCAGGATAAATCATATACCCCATCCGCTACTCAATTGTACCACCTCTACTTACATTTTAGAATCAGAAATACAATTACGTGTTTGCCTTTTAAGAATAGAGAGGCCACATTGAATGCTTAGCAATAATTTTAACACTTTCCCCGGGCTGTTTGTATTAGTCTTAGAGATAACAAGGCCATATTGTAGTCCAGTCTGAAATCCAACAACTCGGACTTGAAGTACTTCATATAAGTTAATTTACAAATAAAAATTCTCAGGCTCATTCCTGAATATCTGTAAGACAAAAACTATCAATACAAAAATGCCACTTAAAGAAGGTCATTAAAACCTTTCCCGAGGATGTGACTGAGCCCTTCCCATGCTCCTGCCATTGGCTTGGCCATCCCCTTTACCTTCTACAGTGTCTCTTGAGATGGGGTAGATCTGAATTTCCCTCCAGTATAACTATTGCCTTTGAAGTCCGGGGATGGGCTTACTAGAGAGATCCTGTTGCCCACAGTCTTGTCATCTGTAAGGTTTTTTCCTCCTATTTCCGTGGGATAACATAAAGCACTTTTTAGATGATAGAAGAAGACTCTTGATATTTTCTGCCATATTTTATAGCTTTTGCATGAAGAGCTATGCATGCAAAGAGCTTTTTTTTGCCTGTCATTTACATCAATGTCTGTACATTCTGCAGGGTTTTTACCCCTGTACGAATATTTTACATGGATCAAGAAACCTATTTACTCTTCTTCTTTCTCATTCAGTTCACAATGAAAATATCTCCAGAAAAGAAGCATAATGAAAGAAAAAGTGGATATAGAAATAGCTTCAGAGAGCAGTAATCACATAACGTCATCTGATCAAATAAAGAGCTTATCACAGTCCTTGAGCCCTGTCACGAACAGGCTGCACAGAGTAGTCTCAGATACCTGACCCAGAGCTGCCTGAGATCGGCAGAAAGACTTCTTCCACTTATTAAAATGACCTATAGCCCAAGTGCCACTGCTAGGTTACTCTCAACTTACGACCTAAATCAGTCTACTCCACAAGCCCATTGCAAGAAAAATGTATGAGTAGGTAGACCAGAAAAAAAGCCAGCTGATGTGTGTGCATGTTCCCTGGAGTCCCAGCATCTTTTCTCCTCAAAACCTCTCTCCTACTTCCACCTCCAGCCTCCTGAGGGGAGGGAGGGCTGGCAGGAAAGGGGTGCACTTTTCTCTACTGCTCCCTTTTCTCCTTCTTTACACCCTTGGGTGTAACATTGGACCCAGGGCATCAAGCAAGATACCTTGGGTCTAATCTGGGTGCTCATCTGCACTGAGTGGTGGGGCTGTGCTCATGTACCTGGGAATCCCCTAGATCCTTTTACCTCTTCTCCCCCATTGTCCCCTCTTTAGCATCCTGAAACTAAGGTGGGTCCTGACGCCAACCCCCCTATACTCATCCCTGTGGCATGGGAGAGCCTATCGTCAGAGGATTTGCAGGACGGCATTGACCTTCAGAGCTCTGCTCAAAACTATGCTCAATTGGTTATCACCTTGCTCATTTGAGGCACAGTAGAGAGTAAAACTGCTTAGTTACAAATACGGTTTGGTAACACTAAGACCCTAGTAGGCTGGGTGATCAGAGATAATGCTGCACTTGCAGAAATGAGGGTTAATTCATAATGATACTGCACTTGGTAATACCAGGAGACTGGCTTTTTGAGAAAGTTTAGATAACACTGCTTCTCGCAATATATTCTTGTTGCTATTGCTTTTGCTCTTCGAATCGATACTGGGGAAAAGCAACGTGAATCTCCTTTGCAGATATTTTTAGAGCACTGAATACACTATCAATTTCAATTCTGTCTCTGACAGTTACTTTTAATTATGCTGTTTTATGTTATGACTTAAAAGTTATTTTAGCATCCCAGTAGCATATAAAGAGTTATGTAGAGAAACAAATATAACCTTTTAGATAAAAGTTTAGGAAAGGGGCTACTGGATCTCACATGTAACCGGAGAGAAACAGTCTTCAGGGAAAAATTATTGATGCTCAGATCAAAGATCAGGGACTGGATTCTTGAGTGCATTTTATCTACTACATTTTGTGCTACAGAGATCTAGGACCAGAGCCAGGATAACTCATCACAGAGTGTTGTTTACTGACAGTTTTCACATTGAAACCCAGTTTTCTTAACCAGAGATATGATGGTTGAAATTGGCTGAGGTCATTCTTGCCTTGTTTTATTTTTTTCCCCATTTCTTGAAGTTGATCAAGAAGGAAGTTCAGAAATGGGTCAAATGACTGATGTTCTTTCATTCTGCCAGGTGAAAGGCAAGAGGACGTTGGCAGAAAACATTGCGGATAATGGAGGTTTGCGAGAGGCTTTCAGGGTAAGTAGATGAAAAATATCTGAAACAGTATTATTTAAAAAAAAAAAGAAAAAAAAAAAAGAAAAAGCTGTGGTTAGGCTCCATGTCGCGAAAGGCACTTAGTATCTCTTTCTTATCAGGCATACAGGAGATGGATTACAGAAAAGAGGGGAGGAGAAGAGGAGCCTTTACTGCCAGGCCTTGAGTTCACACACAACCAGCTTTTCTTTCTGAGTTATGCCCATGTGAGTAATACAAATGTGTTTCAAGTCCCCACCTATTAACCTGTACTATGTACAGTGCAGAGATGAGACTGCTTTGTTTCAACAGTCTACACCAGCCAAACCCAGACTTTTAAGGGTATAAGCAGAGAATTCTTCTCCCAGGACTATTATTTTTTTTCTCTTTCTTTGACGTCATCTATCTGTCCATGGTTCCAGAACTGCTGAAATTATTCTTGGTTTTGCAATGTTGTCATGGCAGCTTTCTTTCCGCTTGCTGCTTACCTCCGCTGTAAGGCTTTTCTTGCACATATTGACTCCTTAACCTCTTTCCATTTTAGCTTCCCAGTTTTCTGGTGCTTGCCATATGCAGCAGTTTCTGACTGCTTCCACCACAGACTCCTGTTGCAAATGTACCATCACCATTCGTTACTGAGCATGTAGTTCAAGGAAACTAAGCAGCAGTGAAGAAAATCTTAGTTTAATTTTTCCCATCTTTGTTTGCTGTACACTAAATATGTTGTAGTAAAACTTTGATAGGGGATGTGAGTTTTTTATGAAAACATGTAGAACAAGGGAGAGAATCAGAAATTATTTATTTGGTTAAGAGAGTTGGGACGAACTCCCTATACAAGGAGTAAAAGTTAGGCTATAAATCTTTGCCCACCAGCTGAAAGAATGAATCATTTAAAACAGAAGAAACAGAACCCAATGCAACCAACCCTGGCTGAAAATAATTTCTCTGCCAAGAGTCAGTGTAACAGTGTATGGGTCTATGGCCACTTAAGTTTGACAATATTGGCCAATGAAAAGACTCCACTTTGGTCATTTATGCTGAGTTGAGTTTCACACTATGTCAGCTTTTCTCCAGGAAAACTTTGAAGCCATGGGGAAGATCTGGGGGTCTTACAGGACCGCTGCAGGAATCGGACGTCCGGTGGACCCTCTGAGGGGAGGCATATGCACAGTGAGAGCAGCGTATGCCAGCTACCCTTGAGCTCAGCTTGTTTCCACAGGGCTTAAGACACTCAACAGACTCATTGAAACTGCCAGGGCTGTCTTCAGCCAGACAAACTTGCACTGAAGTTCATATATCCTATAGGCAGTCTGGCTTAAAGGATTTTGTCGATAGGAAACATTCAACACGGGCTTAGGTAAGGTAGGGGCTGCTTAAATGAGATTTTTCATGCAATGGGCACAGCATAAGAGGGATTATTTAGTTGTGCAAATATTCTCTCTACCCTGTTTTGTGGTCAGTTACAATTGGGTCAAGTATTGTGTTAGGGATAGTGAATTGGGGACCACTGATGGAAACTTGAAAAATGTGTAATTTCAGAAGAAACTGACATTCCAACATGGAACAAATGTGTCAGGAAATATAGCTGCAATTCTAGGGATGATAAGCAATCATTACATGTACCTTCTATACACATTACATAGCTTTGAGACCAAGAAGTATGTTTGGTAATTATTAAGGTGTGAGATGCCACAGCACAAGCTGAAAAGCAAGCTACAATTAGAGAGAACCTCAAAAAAAAGAACTAGTAAAGTGGCTATGATTAGATGATTAGAGTGGGTGGAGACTGGATCCATTAAGGGATTTGAAAAACAAGAGAATATACCAACAGAAAACTGCAAGTTAGCAAAGGTGAAACAAAATAGGAGTTTGTGGTGTCTTTCCATTTTGTGCGTTCTGTAAGAAACAGGCATCTTAAGAACAGTGACATTACATTCTACTTTACTTCCAAAGTCACCCCAGATAACGTGTCTGTTTCTGCTTTTTGTCTTTTATTAGGTAAGATGCAACTCCTTTAGACCAGAATCTGCGAGAGAGCAAATATATATTGGAGCTCACAGCCCTCCTCAGTTCAGGTAGTGCAAATAATGTATTTACTCAGTATACATACAGAATCAATCACTGCAGCACACAAGTGCAGAAATTTAGCATGTTAAGAGGGGTTTAAGAGCAAACACAAAATTGGATTTTGCTCTTGGCTTAGATTGAAATTGAACTGTTTTTATTAGCTTATCTTTCACTATTACAAATGCTTTTCTGTAAAAATGAGGGGGCTTGCATGTGCCTTCAAAAGCAGTTGAACCAGACGACACCTTGATCCCTGTGATGTTCTATAATCATGGCCTGAGTATCAAAAATGTCTATTCTATCACCTTTTTTTTCTATGCAATTCTACTTTAGAAAACAATTAATATTAGCAGGGTCCTTGATTTAATCTGCCTGAGTTCATTAAAAGCTTTAAAGTGAGTACCTTGAATTATATCGATAAAGCAAAGCAAAGCATGCCCTGTAAGTTCAGTTCAAGATTGAACTCAGTTGCACTTCAAGAGACACTTTGCTTGAAGGAGCTGTGGTAGTCCAGCCATAACGGTGTGTCTGTGTCCTTGCCCAAAGAGCCTCCCACAGGCTCTCCTAACCACAGACACTCCAGAACCTCAAGAAGGAAACGCTGGAAAAGGAGGAAGGTTTAAAGACTTCATAAGAATTAGGAAGCCAGAGTTTATTTCTCAGCTTCTCCACAGAGTTTGTGTGACCAAGAGCAAGTTTCTTCTGTTGGGATTCACGTCAGTCGTATTTACTTAACTAAGAATTATGTGTTTGTCCTCAGTCAAGTGCTACATTACATCTGTATTTGGGGGAAGGATGTTAACTCCACAAGCTGATTCATAATGGAGGTGTCTCCAATACACGGGATTAGTTGCCTTCTGGAGATTCCTACCGCTTTCTGTTGACTAAAGAGGGAGCTGGGATCCTGCCTTCTCCAATGCTAAATTTAGGTGATATGAGCCCCCTTTGTCTCAGTTCTCTCTTGGTAAAGTAAAAATAGCAACACTGCTTTCACAGGGGAGTTGTGAGGTTGCTTCATAGGTACTCTGACATATTCCCTCGACACAGCCATGCCAAAGCTGAAGATATAAACACGGCATGCATAACACACCTTAGGCTACTTAGAACCAGAATGGGTTAAGAAATAATGGAACTGCAAACATGATGACACAAATTTAATATAAGCTAGCATTGCAGATGTGTATGCTTGGTCTTGGTAGACTTCTATACTCTGCATTGAAACCTGCACTGCTGTATCTTTGCAACACCTGTTACACCAGCTAGCTAGGGTAAAACTGATGCAGTATGCAAATCTGCACGCCTTTTAACAATTGAAAATACATCATGACAATGAGGACAGGAGTATCAGGCTGATCTTCAGCTTACAGAGCAATTTTTTTTTTTTTTTTAATCCTACCCTTGTTAAGATTTTGGTAAAATAACCATCTCTTGCCTTTTAAAGTCCTCAGATTTATTTACCTATACGTATATTTATATATTCTGAATCATTACATAGCTACATTCCCATGAGATGTTGCAAATCACAAAATATACAGAGAAGCCTGGGGATAGAGCATTCATGAGGAAAAATCATGAAGGAATCAGACTATGAAAGAAAATTCCAGAAAAGATTAGATGAATTTGGGGTCTAGAAAATACAGACAAAACTTTTTCTTAGTTTTTATGTGAGATACTCAGAATAGGCTTCTGTTTCAGACCTGAAGAGAAACTGCGGTGCTTGTCTCTTCTTGCAAATCATATCAACTGGGCTAACAAAATATATTATCTATTTCCCCCAACTTTGCTTCGTTCGCGTCCCAAGACCATTATGAGTATAACAGCAGTACAGCTAGTTTCAACATTGGCAGCTCTTGCTCTCCAAAAAGCCCAAACAGCCCTTTTTTAAGTAATTAGAAAAAAGTAACTATAAAAGATGATAGAAATGAGCAACACATATCCTGAGCATAGGTGTGTGCATCTGAGCTAGTCACTCCAGGTTCTCTTCACAGTCAAAAAAGAATAGGCGTTTTGAAAGTGTGTGTGTGTGTATATAGATATACGTATATATAAAATCCTTCTGTAAGTAATAAATTTGGATTACTTAGACTCTGCAGGTACATCCTTCTATTCACTGCTGAGGGAGCCCAGGGTGACCCATTCAGGGGAAGGTGACTCTGCTGTAGTTCAACGGGATGAAATCCAGACAGCCCACTCTGATTCTACAGTTAATGCGTGGCAATATCAAACCATGGATATGGTTTTTTTTATGTCAAAAGTCACGTGCATGGACACATAAAGATCTTTTGGTGGCTAGATTCTGGTTCTAGTTATTGGCAGATTTTCAGTATTAGCCTGTGTCTTTGCTATTTTTGAATGCCGGTTTCAGAGTGAAATCCCTGGCATGTCAGGCAGATCTCCCACCAACTTCAGCAGCAGTTCTGCATGACCAGCTCTTGCTGTTCCAGTCCCTGAATATGTATTTGCAATGTTTTTACAGTAAAGCTGTATATCTTATTTGAAGCCTAACATAATTTTGTAATTCTTCCTACAAAGCTGACCTTTAGACATTTTTGCACCATCTGACTGCAAATTTTCTTACCCACAGAAAGTCTAACCAATGTAATAAGAATGTTTTCTACCATGCTGAGCTATGCTGAGAAGCTGATTGTCTGCAGTGGAGAAAAATGCCTTCCCACTGCATAACAAAGAGGGTGGAAAGGCATACAATTAATATCTCAGTAGATACTTTTCTGCTTTGTCTCAGGATGCTGTTTACTTTAATACCATTGCAAATTTCAGGTAAGTAAATTCCAAGATGCTTAAAAGCATAGGAAAAATCAGCAAACAACAAAATCCCAATCTAGCAATGGTAAAATGATAATTTCTGACAGCACGAAATAATACAGACAGGAAAGCGGGAGCCAAGGATGACTGCATACAAAGAGCGAGCTCTTCCCCTATGTCTGCAAGTGCCAGTCTGGGATGCAGACACATTGTCTAGCTTGTGCGAGGCAGGGATGTGCTGCTCTTAGAGTATCACACCATCTGTGGTGGAAGCAAGAGAGCTTGGGAGCTGGTCAGGGCAGAAGCCTCAGAAAATGTATTTCCAAGCTATCAGAGGAGTTGAGATGCTCACAGGTGTGAGGCTGAGCTGGCCAGTTAGAGAGGGTCTGCCTGACCCCCCCCGCCCCCACCTCCAGCTTCAGGCTGCAAAGTCCCAGGGACAAGTCATGCGGGCATGTGTGTGTGTGTGTGTGTGTGTACCTGGGTGGGCAGAGGGTGTTGTTACAAGAATCTGGCTGGCATGAGCCAAATCAAATCACTTCCAGCACAGCCACGTGCCTATGCACTCCTGCCTGCTGGGCTGCAGTAGTTTGGCAGCTGCTGGAAGAAGAATTCCACTGTTGCAGGGCTATCGCTGATCCACCTTTGCTGCCAAGGGTCAGATTAGAAAATTGTTCTAAATGACATAGTATCCACAAAATGCAATTGGTTTTGGTTGAGTTTCTAGCAATGTAAGATGCTTCTCAAAGCACCAAATGAAACAAGGTTGTCTTCACGTTAACTTTAAATGGGAGTGCTTCTCCTGAACTTTTTTTGGTTTTATTTGTGGAAAAATGACATGGGAAGCCTGAAAATTCAACCTGAAGTAAACACACCGAAACACTTATAGGCCTGTAGTGTTTAACAGCAGACAATATGCACGTCGATCACTTTTCTCTTTGCAGAGTTATCGGTGCCATGAGCAACTTTGAAGAGTTCCGTAAAGCTTTCAATTGCCCAACAAACACGACGATGAACCGAGGGGCAGAATCCTGCCGGCTGTGGTAGACGTCCCTTCCAGGTCTTCTGTCAAGAGGGGTCTGCAATGTGAACTGCTGCATCTGAGCTCGAGCCCACTGCTAGAGTTTCAGAATAACGTTCTGCAATCTGGAGAGGCGTTACTTCAAATGCATCTTCCTTATCCACGCTGATAACCTGCATGGATCTAATCACTCTCTATCCAGAGCCTAGAATCTTTTGAAATAGAAGCAGAAGATGGGTTTTCTTTAATAATAATAGTAATAATAATAAAGGAACTGCTTTTATCCTTAAAGCTACTCCTATTCATCTGCAGTTGCATTGCTGTTGATGGATAACTGCCATTATCAATTCAAATTCCTGATTTATATTTGAGCAAGAGGTAAATGCTAAAATCCAGTTTTAATCTATCGCTCTGCAGGGGTGCTATGCAGACTGCTCCCACACAAAATTTATTCTTTCTGGATGAAGAAATTCATGAGACCAGCTATAAAGCCAGCTCTGATCTGTTGTTTGATACAGCATTTTCATAACTTAAACTGTCACTGCCCAGCATGCCATAAATGATGTTGCATGATGTAAAGACACAAGACTTTATATAAATTTGGTTTAATATGTCAGATTAGTGCCTCAGGTTTTGGAACAGTTTCAAGCTGAGAAAGCACCTCACAGTTTCCATCTGCTAGGACTAAACAGAAAGGATACTTGTCAGATCCTGGCCTTTTCTAATTTTAGAATAGCTTATGATAAAAATCAATGTATGATGAAAATCAGAGGCTTGCAGAGGGTATTCCCAGCACCATGATACTCAGAAATATTACAACGCTTACTCCTGTTTACAGTGTGAGCAGTTTTTTTCCCAAGGGGTGATTTTTACCTTGTGCTGAAGGTAGCTTCTACATCTATTTTTAAGCCAGAAATACTGTACCAATTTTAATTTAGGGATTTCTTAGTGTCTGGGTCTTACAGAGGAATGTATGCAGTATACATGTTTGTCCTCATGATCTGGACAGGGCAGGGTGACTTGTGATTTTAAGAAAAGAAGAATATGTAACTGAAAAACAGAGTACCAGCAGCATTTGACTTGTCTGGATAAGAAGAGCAATTCAGGAGAGGAGGACTTTTAAACACAGTATACACGCAGGCCAGTTGATTTTTTAATTTGATTTCTAACAATATTCATAAAACCCCATATTTTATTGCAGCAGAAAAACTTTAACACATAACTGTTACTAAGGGAGGGAAAAAACAAAACAGCCCTGTCTTCCCCAACAGAAAGATACATATTTAGCTGGTATTTATTTATACCTTGTGCATTAATTCATTTTTACATGGTGGAATTATTCCAAATAGAGGGAGAGTTTCTTTAGACTGATTTAATCACTGCAAATCTATATGTCTCTCTGTGTGTATACCTTCATATATATATACAAAAATATATAAATTATTCTATTTGCTTAAGTTTTATTTTATCAGTATAGAAATGTTAGTAAGATAAACTTTTTTTACAAGGATTGGTCAAATATTTTCCAGCAGTCAAGGTGGAGGAAGGTTCAACTGAAGCTAAGTTTTTACAAAGGGGGTTAGTTTCATATGTTTCTTTATGAAGAAGGGTGACATCATGGAAACATAATTTATGGAAGGAGACAGGCCCTCAAGCTACCTGCCAGAGAGAGGGAAGCTGAGACTCCTGAACTCAAGGCACTGTTGCCACTTCTTAGAAACAAAATATTACGTTTGGGGACAAGGGCTTTGTTTTTTTTCAGTTTTTCCCTGAAAAAGTCAAAGTTTTCTTAAGAGGAAAAGCATTTTTGCTTCCTTCAAGCCAGTTCTTGTTCCAGTTCCATGGATTACAGTTTGTCATTTGAATTGCCACTACTAAATATTTTTCTTGGAGGTATTTTTCATGTAGCCTGTTTAGATGGCAGTATTTTTATAGAGACTTTTCTCAAACAAGCAGGTATGGATCTTGAGCAAAGTGATACTGTTTACTTACTAATGGGAAAGTTCCTTAGCAAACTGAGTACTGTACTGAATTCATTCCTGTGCTCGTATGAGCACTGACATGACTTGATGTTGGCTGCTTTGGATCAACAACACAAAGTTCAGGGGTGACACCCTGGCCCCATTAAAGGTAGTACCAATACGGTCGTTGTCCTCAGAAAAGTCAGGACAGCAACTCAAACACTTATCTAAACTTTCTAAATTACTGGACTATGCAAAGCTAGTTTCACAACAGTCAGCTCTGAGTTTTCTAATTTTATCTCTCAGGTCAGAGATGCATTTGCAAGAGTTCCTCTCTCATGGCTATTTTCCAGTGGGACAGATTTTGTCATTTTGTGGTTTATGGGGTTGTTCCTCCGTACTGGATAGCGTTTTCTTCTAAAACGCCTTATGTTCACTGCCTTAAATGTCGCTCTTGCTGCTCCTTGCTAGGCTCAGGTCTTTCATGTTTAATACCAAGGATTTTTGAATTGTGGTATGCATGTTCCCAGCAGCACAGGAACCACTGTAAAACTGTCATCCTTGCTAGGGTGAGCACCTATCCCCTACAGCAGGCAGCGGGCTGGGTCCTGGGCTGGGGGGATAGTGGGGAGCTGGAGGGTTTGGAGGCAATGCACCAGGATGGAGGAAGAGGGGGCATGGCCAAATTTTACACCCTGATTTTAGCAGTTGAGAGGGGGCCTACACACTGCCAGGAAGGACAGAAGTCCTTGCTCCTGACCGGCACATTCATCGGTAGTATCCAAATTTGGGGAATCCTTGCTGTTGATGCAGGTTTTCAGTACCTTGGGCTTAGGTCTTGCATATGCCCACATAAGGATCCTGGCTTGCCTTACCTGCCTGCTTTTTACCTCAAACCAAACAGCTGATGATGCAATTTACAGTTCACTTTGGAGTCAGCTATTTAGGTATCAGCTGGAAAGCAAAACAGAAGGTAATTAAACGCATTCTTAACGCTCAGTCACCACAGACAGCTAAAGCATAGTGATGGTTTGTGAGGACTCTTCCTGTTGCCTCTGTTTTATCAGACTCTCTGGCCCTGCTTTGCTTTCACGTTGTGCCTCCTGGGTCTGCGCTAGCAATCCTTGCTGTGTTGCTGTCAGGCTCACTTTTTACATCTATGCAAAAGATCCTTTATCATATATATTCTTCTCCCAGAGCTTTTAAATTGGTATTTTTTTTAATTGCCAGTAATTATGTCAACACTCTTTTTCCTTTAAGCATATTGTGAAATATTTCTTCCTTTTGGCTTGGTAATCTACTTTTCCAGTGATCAGGAGGGGAAGGATCACCTATGAACAAAACATTTTTACCTTTGTAAATTTGAAGAGATATTTTTCTACTGTGTAGACGTAGAGAAACAACCCCTACTCCTGTCCCACATCCCCTTCTTTGGGTCCTGAAAATATGTAAACCTTTTTCTCCCCTGTGTTCTCTCCTCTTACCTCTCTCTTCTCTCCTCTCTCCCAACCCTGAAAATGCTACAACAACCTTATACACTGTAAGTATTTCTGCTGATAGCATTGTGAAGGAGTTAGCTTGACACACAAGTAGCTTTCTGAAAAGGCGGCTGTGCTATTCACCTGTGTAAACTGTTTAGGTATATAAATGATGTCCAAGCTGGGTCTTGATGCTGAAGGACCAAAAAACCCAGCTGCGTTATAAAGCTCTGCCTCGTGCCCTGTGCAGGGGGACTGCAGCTTTCTTTAGGTAGGAACGCTATCATGACAATAAATGTTTGAATTATTTATAAAATAATCAGGTGGGTTTCTGTATAACTTTTCACTGAGTATTATTCAACAACTTACATGCTTAGAAGTATATCTCACAGCAATGTTTTATAGATATGTATATATATATAGAGATATCTGTCTCCAAAGAAATATTAAAAACCTGATGACTCAAGAGGAAGAACTGTAGTGAGTGAAAAGGTCTTTTGTGTTTATGTCTTTTTAATCTAGATTTTTATTTTGCTAGTCATTGTACTTTTTAATTTTTCTTCTTGCATAATACGTTGATCGACTGTTTTGAAGACAATTGTGCCAGCCAATAAAAGCCAAAGTGATGAAGAATTTTCCTATGTTGCAGCATGGCAAAAGCTGCTTGGCCTGTCACTGTCGAACTCTACAATGTTACTTCTGTAATATATCATCTTCATAAAATGTAATAAAGGGCACAATGACATGACCCCAGGTTCTCAAGGCTACTGTTACTGCTTGACAGCCTAAGAAGGACCTCCTCTCCGAGAGTCATCTAGCCATCTTCAGCCAGAGTTTATTAAGCTCCATTTGCCTCCACTAATCTGCTGGAGGCAATTAAAATGAACATAGGACGAACTACTGTGGATGATGGCTGGAGGCTGCAGAAATTGCAGAAGGGCAGGTGGCAGAGCTATCCTAACCAGAAGCCACCAGAGGATAAGAAGGTGTGGGAGAAAATCCAGCTGCCTGTCAGCCCCACCCTTCTCCTCTTGCCCCAGTCTGTTCCTGTCTCGACCCACCATTTGTAGCCTCACCTGCTTTTCAAATGCTTTTAAGCATTTTCCAGAAGTGTTTTTAATAGGATAACCCTAGCGCCATGCCCAAGTTTGAACTGCAGCTCAGCGATGTCTCTTCCCAGCTAGCACAAAGAAGTGGTTTTGCTGCCTTCCCACTCTGGGGTGTGACTGCAGGTAGCTTCGCGTGCTGCTGTTCCTCACCGTGTACTTCGTGAGCCTGACCGAGCATTTGTTCAAGGGGTGTTCAGGCACAGAGACCGTGCCAAGGCCTTACACGTTACCAACTTGGCTCTTCTGGGCTAAATGCCCTATTTCTTGGGCTCTGAGCAGTTTCCTGATACTGCTTGGCTTCCCATAAGCAGTGGTGCTGGCACGCCTCAAGGTACCACGAAGCCAGTGAACAGTGAGGAGCAATTGTTACCTGATGGGGACAATGGCTTGAAGCTGGCCTTGCCACAAATTTTGAATGGTGTTCTGTGGCGACACAGCCTCTCAAGGCCCACAGTTTTGTGCAGGCAACTCTCTACATAGCTTTTGGGTTTGGGGAGGGAGGGAGACTTTGCCTCCCTGCATCAGTTCTGTCACCTGCTTTACAGCGCAGCCTTACCAACATTTCTACGGGCAAAAGCAAAGGTTTGCGTGGAGGAAGATGAACGAACAAAGCAAAGGTTGGGGTTGGAGCATGAAACCAGCCTCAGCATGAGGAAAATGTTTTGCTCATGGGGTTTGCTGAGCTTGCCCGCATCTTGGAAAGATGCTTTAACAATGGCTATAGATCGCCCGGTGGAATTCAGGGTTTATCTGCTACAGCAAGAGCCCG